TGTAATCTGAGTGTGAAGCAATGAAGGGTTTCAGAGACTGGTAGCTAGACTTTACTAGTTGGAAGTTTGGGTGGTTGGTCAAAATTTTGAAAATAACAAACTAACAGTTCGTATGCTAAAAGGAGACAACTATTCGTGTGAATAAATAGATTATTTTTCGGTAATACTGTGAATTTGAGCAACCTGGACGCCTCTTATAGGGCGGCCAGCTTGAGCATCTGGACTACCTGTTCCTGCCATCTAGATATTTCAACAAGTTATCTACTTTAGTTTGTTTTAATATATCATCATGTTTATTACTCGCATAAACTGTTCGGCTGTGTTTCTGAAGAGTGTACAACCTTTCGTTGTCAAAGTTAGAAAAAACTCAATAAGAGACAATGTAGTTGCTGGCAATATACAACTAAAAGAATGCACATTATTCAGATGTTCATTTACTGAACTGCTAACACCAAACTGGCGATCACTCAATATTTATCGTCAGGACCGACCAAGAAGAAAGGAACGGAAACTTGTTGAGATACTTTGCGCTGAGAATTCTATATTGTACCAAAAATATAATATTAAATAAGGCTGATAATAATAATAATCATGAATGGGATGTGGAAACGGCAAGAAATGAGATAGAAACGAACTGACGTAATATGATGAAGGCATAGATATATAGGTTCTGGAAAATTCACCATAAAGCGTTTCGAGTTGTGGATGGTAATCCGTGATTGGGTACGCGTTTGTGAAGTCTCCACTTGAATCTAGCCCCTGAGGCTGAATGTGTACCAAATAAGGACAATTCCTGATGAGAAAAATTTGGATGGTTCTTAGGTTTTTACTTTTTCATATGCAAGTTTCTGCGGGTTAATTGGAGGAAAGCGGTAGTGAGGATTCGGTAAGAAGTTTAATTTTGAATTAATTGGCGTACATGGTATGTTGAATGCCATATTTCCGGTCACCTTTTAATCACTAAGTAACCCAGTGATAAAGCGTCAGTGCCGGAGTCTATCTTCGTGAGATTTATTCATTATCTTCATCAGAGGCTTCATCGACTGTCTCTGTTGTTGGTCTTAGTAATTTATACCTCTTGTAAGGAGAGTTCAAGGTGACGTGATACGTATGCTTTAGGGAGCGTCGGAAACAATTTCAAGGTGATGGTACTAAATTTCCTTTGAACAAAGTGCATCAACAGTGCCGTTTAAGCTGGTATTTGTTTTGTTTGTTGTTAGTATTCCTAGACAGTGTTCTGTGGAAACAATAGGGAGATGCTTGTGATAGAACATGCCATTTGTTTGCGTCCCACAGGCCTGGATGGTAATAGCACAACATTGTAACAGGTAAACTCCTAGATTACTGTCTATTTTCCTTTTTTCTTTTGTTATGAGGTCTCTATTGAGCTCTGGTGGATTCTTCTCATTTTTTGTGGACAAGTCCATCCATTCCTTTAGACAGTAATGGGAACAGTGCGCCTGATTTTTAAAAGGGCAGATATTTCCTTTCTCCACCTGAGGTTATGAAGTTAATAACCTATTTTCATTCGTTTGGATATTAATGGGATTCTAGTTAGTGCCTGAATAGTTCACGTCCTGGTTTACTAACAGCACCCATTCCCTGTCTCAGGATTATAAGGCAAAAATTGTCACTTCTTTGCAAATTTTTACGACAATCAGAAGTACTCGAACTAATATGATAACTAGAAATTACTGAAACAGTACAATTTACATCAAGTCGAACTAGATGAGCGAAAATGAATCAGTAATCAGCGGGCATTAAGTACAAAGGAATAATTAGAACACAGAAACGCCACACTTTCCCCAGTACAAGGATATCATTTTCCTTGATAGTAATCTGAAAGTTAGATGGATATTTCCCATACTGTCATCTGATAATGAAATCCAAGAGTATTCCGCACTTGCGGTTTATTAGTTTAGTTGACTATAGAGTTTTCAATAGAGATTTTCGCGGTCCAAATGTTTGTAAAACGTCTACCTTTGGGTCCTATGGGAGCAGAGATACTTTGATCCATAAGTTTTACTTTGGCCACCAACGTAATAGGATATTTTGTGTGGGCTTGTTTCTCAGCTGCTAAGTTGATTTGGAGATATCGATTGTAGCATCGAACTGTTAGTTTCGAGAAATATTTCTCCCTGTATTTCTCTTTGCTTTTAGCAGACGTTCTATGTCTTTTTTACGCCAAAATATGTGTCATTGTGCTTGTGGTACGCCGTGTGATGTAATATATTCGAGTAATGTTCCCAATCATCTCGAGGTAGTTATTAGCTATGAGCCCTCACCATTGTAGTGGCCATGGGGAATTCCAAATAAGTTCTATCATGATCGTTTAGTCCACCTTTGTGTGGCTAAGGAGGGAGACTTTCTCGTCTCCGTGATGCACTCAATTTTTGGCTACGTTAAATGACATTACCATAGTCACTAATGCCATGCTTTTGGTGATTTCTACATCGTTGTTAAGCCTTAATCAATGCTCTCTAATGGGAAATACTGTTTGGAGGGTTTTGAATAATTTGTGGTGTAGAATAAACTGGTCAGCCCTTCAGGAAGTGGCAGACATAGGATTCTTCTGTGTGGCCATTCCAGTCAGCGTTATTGTATTACAATTACCTTGTATCATAGGTTGTTGATCGAGGTCTTATGGCGCTGAGGTGTACTTTGTCAGTCAGGCAACCGCGTATTTGTCTTATCGATCTGAGTTGGTTTCTAGAAGACTGGATATAACTGTATAATAACCACCGCCATTGACTTCCGTTGCGTTCGTCAGCTTCGTCTGGACTGACACATGTCAGCGCCTAACGGATACAGATCTAAAGCTGAGTGGTTGAGCCTTGGTTTGACATTATCAATCATATATGTTATTGTAGTTGTCTACCGACAAAGCGATTTGATGTTTCGAATAGGCAATGAGTCTTTCTAGTTAGTGACGTGGAACCTGAGGAATGACTCACCGTAATGTCTCAGATGTTTGACTTTTGTTCTGTATATATTTAAATAACCGTTGCTCTATTCGAAGATTTGGTCGTCAGTCCTGACTGAGAGAAAGTATCGGCATCCGGTTGGGGCTAACAGAAATGTGTATTTAACAACAGTGGATAGCTTGCAGGGATTCCCACTAGGTTTGTTGTTAGGACTGACATTAATCCAGTACCTCAAAGGATCACAGAAAAATTTGTTACGTTGATGAGAACCATGAGTTCACCTTCGCGTTACCAATATTCTAAATACTACTGGTTCAGTGTTTTCAGAAATTCTTCATAAAATTTGTACTAAATCATGGTCTTAGATTTTAGGTATTCTCAAGGTACTCCACAAGGTTTTCTCATTTTCCCCCTTTTAAAAAAATTTTAAAGTTAGACTAAAATCAGTCTGTCAGTAGTTATCTGACTGGGCCTTATACTGATAACCATGTTTGACCTGAATAAAAGCTTTCAAGAAGTCGGGGTAGTTTACATACATACCGATCGCACTACCCACAGTTTTTATCAGATTTGTAGGTCAAGATGGACTCTTCCGTACACCATTCTGCTGAGGCGCATATATATATTCAAATGAAATTGACTTTGAGGAGAGATAAGTAGTACCAATTCGCTTTAGGATAAAAATCGTGTGAACATTGTAAAAAAGACGTCAGTTCATTTGTAGTTCCAAGTTTTAAGTAAGGATTTCAGGACATCAAGACTTTTGCAGACATTTGAATAATCTTAAAAGACTCTAGCGGGAGGAATCACATCGACATCACTTAAGGTATAAAAGCTAAAGAATTTTTTGCTAATTTTTTATTTAATGTTATTAGCTCATGATTAAAGAGGTAAATAAACTTTCATCTACTCTAAAGATCAACAACCGTCAGTTTCTTAACACTCCTATGGATGTATGATAGTCTTAAGGTTGAAAACATGTACGGAACAGTTTCTATGAGGGAATGGTAATAAAGAAATCAGATGTCATTCAAAATAATATAGGTTCTGCAAAAACGTTCAGAATTGTATCCCCTCTACCATCGATCATAGAATACTAAAATTACTGCAAAACATATTGACACAAAGTATCATTGCTCACATCAAGGATATCAAATGAATACATCAGTGATGTAAGAGAGAGTTAATAAAGACAGTGTAAGAAATTTTGAACGATATGATAATCAAAAATGTGAAAAGTAATCGATTCTGCCATACAATAAGTCCTTTGATTTAAGATGATTTCGCTATATTCCACCTTATGATTATATTATAGTTTAGTATCAAACAGACGGTCTACAATCCCCTATTACTAACTTACTACAGAATATATTATTCATTTTAAGGTCTTTATTTATGTTAGTGAAAAAAATGGAAAACTTAGAGGATCGGTTGTGGAGTTTAATACATGCGATAAGCTAAAACGTTTCGCATAAGTATTTCTAATTTACTTGTAATATTCAACTTGAATACAATTTAGGTAGTGAAGTGAATGTTTACTCTAGGTGGTGATGTCATCTTGATGACATGTATATTTGATGGTTTTTATATGCACGTGTGCCTGTCCCTCATACCTAGTAGTACTCTATATAGCGTCTGCCTTCATATGTGTAACATGGCGCTTGCTTATGAATAAGAGCAGCCAGCAAATCTTATCTTCATGGTTGTCAAATATCTTTGTAAATGAATGCCTTAGACATACGTATATACAAACATATTTTGTATTCGACTCGTATTATCTACATTGTATTAATGTAATCACTTGACAACATACATACGAAGTTACGTAGAATCTATATTTTTCACATTCAGCTCGTTCATCATTCAACGCATAACCTAATAAATATAACCAGCATGCATTATATGAGATGAGTATCGATAGGTGGTTTCACAACAGGATACTTAAATTACTAACCATAAGAGTAGTCTTTTTTCAATGGGTTATATAACATCAACTTCTGAATTGAAGAATGAATTTCAACGTCATCTATACTCACTTTATCAAAGTACTAATAACATCTATGTGTGTATTGATAGTATATATTTATATAAGAAGTTACGGGAGATTCTTACAATCTGTACATTTGTTCATGAAAGACAATTTTGGACATATGATGATCTACACAAATCTAGGCTGTCGTGATAACAGTAGGTACTGTGATAGAGAAACAAAATAGGAAAAAACATTGTTTAACGAAATAACATGGTGATGTGTTTATTTACTAGAAGATAAAATATTCTGTTGTACAATAAGTATAATATGTTTGAGTTTGCTAACAAGATACATCATATTGGAAGGAACTTATTACGATTTAATTTAAGGCAATTATCAACACAGCTTCCCTTATTGTATCATGTATAATGTTCAAAATATATATTTAGGCTATCAGATTATATTACTCACTATTGTATAGTAGTATAAATCACATCTAAATCGAAAAGTGTTTATAAATATGTAGTCTTCAGAAGGTTTGCTGAATCGCATTATAATTTTCTCTCGTAATCTACTAAAGAATTTTATATGTAAAACTAATGACTTAATGACTCATGGTTCATCAAACTTGGTTCTGTTTAGATTTTAATTGTACACAAATTTTTCAGTAGAAAATTGGACGTAAAAGATTACCGGTTTGTAACTGAGCTTTCTATAATACTGTGATAGTAACTAACTCTCTTAAACAAAAAGGCTCTTTAACCATTCAATATTGATACTTTGTTAATTTAACAGACACTAATTACAGAAGGTGTTCAGTTAAGAATCTTAACAACGTCACAGAACAGCCCCACATGACGCCATTTCACATTAAAAGTTTCACGTTCCACTATCTTCGTCTTCGTCTAAATATGTTGTTCAATCTTATGTATTTGTTTGCGCTTTGTTACGTTAGGCGAATAGAAACCAGTTTGGTTAGATTTTGTAATATGTTGAGCATTTTAGTGTCGGTTACTATGTTACGCCCATATAACTTATTCTAGCTTCTGGACAAGGCTAATTTATTCATTCTTCTAGAGTCACGTTTTGACCTTGTCAATCGCTCATCATCAACCATGGGTGTTTTTATGTGAGAGTATGTGTATACATCTAATCCCACTCATCAAATGTCTGTAGCTTATTTTTGTGTAAATATAAATATCGATGAACGCTTGGTTAAATGGGGTTGGCTCATGCGCTTTCTCCATTGCGCGTCGTTTCGTTTCTCTTCGCTTCATTCGCTGGAATTCTCTCATTGTCTGTTCCGATCAACCATTAAACAAAATATAAGTATTGGAAATCCTTTCTCGTATTTGAATTATTTAATTCCGTTATTCACTAACGTGGATTAAGTCAATAATTATACATGAAAATAGACAACATGTGTACTTCAATAACATTCATACGATCTAATTAGAGTCAGATACCTGGCCACAAAAGTGGTAGGTCCGTCCATTACAACGTCCGATCTAATTGACGTCAAAATATAAGGGCCACACTAAAACATATTCAGTACCACCTCACCGTTTCATATAACTGGCTGTGACTGAAGTTAGACACGAATTCGATTAGCAATGGATCGGTAGTTATGAGTGTAAGTGTTCTACAAGTTACTC